GCTTGGATTTGAGCATAATAGTCCACATGCTAATAGCAAAATCACATGCAGTCAAATAAGTTAAACAATCATTTTTTTTTTTTACTTCCACGACAATTCCTTTACATTTAAATGTTGTTGTGGCATAAAACTTAATTGTTTAGCTCTTAATTTTAAGAATTTTGAACTATATGTTGCAGAACATTTAAATGCAAAGAAATTGTCACACAAGCATAAAAAAAAATTGTTTAACCTACGTGAATGAACATAATTCTACCGTTAACACAAGAACTAATTTGCTTAAATCCGAGTGTTTTTGGGGTTTATATGCCACTTTTTTCCTTTGAGTGCTTACATGAGAAAATAGGAAAAGCCTACGGGCTTAACATTATCTCATCAATTTCTATGTATTCTATCTTTTTAATGAGGTGCACCATTTACGGGTGGTGTTATTGCCACAGCCACTACTGTTAATACCACAGCTTTTTTAATTATTTGACTATTATACCCCTCATTCGAATCCAACATGCAGCAGTCACCACCTTCTCCGCGTGGGTTAATGGTCAATTAATTAAACATTGATTTACAAACAAAAAGTCTTATAAATTTACATGAAATTATTAAAAGATCATAATTTTAATAAAATAAAATGCTCTCAAATCCCAAATAATTTACAAAATTGTCACATCTAACTTTTTAGAAGATAAAAGAACGGTGAAGAGAGACAAAGAAAGAAGAAAGGTTGACTCTTCCCTTTTTATTACTCTTTAGATCCCATCGTCCAAGAAGAAAATAAGAAGACTTCTCTTTAATCTTGTTTTTTTTTTTTTTTTCCTTTTTCTTTTTTCTAGTACTTGCAAATTTCACGCTTCTTATTGGATGAAACTTCACTTTTAAAAGTAGCATGCGTGATTTATTAGAATTATTTGCACCCAAATTTATACTTAACATCAATTGCAAAAGTTAAATACACCCATCGTTGGGCTCAAACCCACACAACAAGGTTAAGAGCCTTGTGCCCTACCAACTAAGCTAGATGGGCTACTTAATCTAAATTATCTCCAACTTATAGAATCTTAACTTTTCATCACTTAATTTAATTTAGCCTACCGATACTTCATCAGAAACATGCGCTAGCAAAAAATAAAATTTCCTTCGTGTGCCTTAAGAATTTGCAAAATTACAATGTATATGTGATATATACAAATGAGAGCGACTTGTGGTTCAATAATAGTTCGTTCAAGTGAAATAAGAAAACTTATGTCGATTTCTGCAATAAATGAGTGATTTGTACAATACATGAGTGAGAGGTTAAAAAAATGAGGCTATAAGGACAGGAGAGATCACTTCATACCAAACTCTAAAATTAGGTTTTTTTGGTCCATATGTAAATTTAAGTTTAATTTTTTTACCTTATCACTAAAATATTTTTTTAATCTTAATATTTTGTTAAGGCTAATAATAGTAGAAGCATAAATAATAAAATAGAAAAAAAAAAGAAAAATATTTTTGGATGGAAAGTGTAGATTTATACTCAATTGATTCAAGATGGAAAGTGTAGATTTATACTCAATTGATTCAAAAAATCAGTTGTTTGATTTTTTTAGATATATTTTTATATAATTCTTTTACATTGTATATGAATAATAATTGAAATACTTTTTTATCAAATAAATTACTTAACCAAAACTATATATATAAAAAAATTCAATTATCATTCATCTGCTATATAAATTTATTATTTAAAATATATTCAAATAAATTGAATGAATTATGATTCAAAACAGAGAATATAAAATATAAACTGTGGTTTTGGGTTTTAATAAAACTTTATCTTTTCTAAAAAATCATATAAATATATTTTAAAATTAACAAAAAGATAACAATTTTGTAATTTGCTCTTAGTGTGAAATATACATTTTATAATTATTGATAGAAAGAGACAACTTTAATATCAAGCATCAATTGTTTTTCTCAATTCTAAATTGTTAGACACTCCATATTCTAATAATTCCAACCCATGTTGAAAATAACTTTAAAAATAAAAGAATATTTTTTAATAAAAAAAATCAAAATCAAATATTTAAACATTAAAAATATCATAACATTTAATCTCAATTTTTAATAATGGCTTATTATGTCCCATCAATTTTGCATATATGACCAGACATCCTGACTTTTTAATGAGAAGCATATTTTTTATATTCTCTTCCAAACTGTCTTTGATTTTGATATCAAAGTTTAACAATAGAGAAAATATCCCTCACGATGTTTAAATTAGTTAGTATCTCTTATGAATAAGAGTAGAGAAAATATGAGAAATGGCACAGTTAAGAACTTTAGCTTTCAAAAATTTATTAATTAAGGAATTCAATTTTTTTGTTTCTAATTGAGGGTCTCTACTGTTTAGTTACCCCATTCAAAAACCCAAATTCACCAATTTTATCCTATTCAAGAACTCAAACTCACTAATTTTATCATACAAGGCATTGTTGGATGATATATTGATGATGGCTAGTTAGTTCTGTTAAAAGTAACCAACATTAGGTGCTAATTAGTCAAAAAAATTTGCTTTGTCATCAATGACAAGGAAAAAATAAAAAATGTTGAAGACCTCTTTGCTAAAATTAAGAAATTTAGGGTAATATTCCATCCAACAAAGCTTTGTATGGTATAAAATTGGCAAATTTGAGTCCTTGATAGAAAAATCGAAAAGCTAATATCCTCTAATAAGAACAAAAAAAGGTTTGAATCCTTAATTGGTGAACTTTAAAAAGTAGCGATTCCTACTATTTCTTGAGAAAATGTTTTCGAATGGAAAAATCAGTTGTCAAGCCCTTCACTTTACCCCATTTTTGTGGGTAAACCCCTAAACAGAAAATAAAGCAAATAAGCCCCAGAACCAAGGTAAACCCAACACATTAGCTCTTCGTTAACGGCACTGTTAGTATCTGTGAAATTTGTTTGGCGGTACAGTTAAAATAAACTGCAAGAGTTAGTTCCTCGATTGGTTTTACAATGGAAAGGTGATTAATTTAAATTTAGTCCCTAACTTAGTTAAATTTCAAATGAATATAGTTCCTAAATTTTAACTATTTTATATAAAAAAAATTTAAATCAATTTTGAAAGTGTATTTTTCTCTCAATTTTCTATAATGCAATATAATTGAGTGATTTTAGGAGGATTAAATCTTTGGAAACTATCCCAATTATTACACAATTAAAGCAATGATTGAGAGAATCAAGGGTTAAGAGAACGCCTCCCTCTTATAAGAGAAAGCTTCCCTCTTATAAGATTTAATGTGGTTTAATTTTAAATTAATTAGAATATAATGTGATTTTTAAATATTAAAAGGTTTGATAAAAAAAAAAGAAGCAATAGGGTATACTTGCAACAAGATTTCTTCATTTAGAACTTATTTGGTATAGCGATTAAAAATTAATTGATAGTAAATAGTGAGTAGCAAATAGCAGATAGCAATAGTAGTAACGGGTGGTGAGTGGCAGTTAGCAGATAGCGGATGACTGATAGCGGAAAGTAAGTAACAAATAGTAAATAGCAAATTCAATAAATATAACTGTTTGGTTATACAATAGTTAGCGATTATTATTTAATATTAAATGACTAATAAGAACATGTTTAAAAACAATTAAATGTATTTTTTCTAAATATTTTTTATTATTAAAATTATTAATTTTATAAAAATTATAATAAGAAAATAAATAAATAAAATTAATTATAATAATATAATTACACCCTCATTTTTATTTTTAACAAAGAAAAATTATATTATTTTTAAATAAAAAATAATCATTTTGTCTAATTAGTAAATTTTGTTTTTTAAGATAATATATTTTTAATGATAAATTAATGTAAAAAATAAAAATATTATAATTACTTAATGTTGTTAAAAGTAAAAATACAAAATTGAAACTTATTAGATAAATATTAATTAAAAATTATGACAAAAAATTAAAAAATTAAAGTAAATAAATTTGTTAATAAAATTAAAAAACTCTAATTCTGTAGCGATTTGGTAGAAAAATCTACTTAAATTAGTTTCTTTAATCCACTAACAGTTTACACCTTAACTGTTATCCACTAGTTCCAAATCATTAAGTAATAATTTTTACTAAACACTTTATTTGTAACGATTTCAAAATATATAAATTTATCAAAAACCTATTTTTATCAGTTTATCTAAAACCACTAACTACTGCACCAAAACCACTATACTAAATAGTACTTAATCTTCCATTTGACTAACCATAAAAGTTGAAAACCTTTAAATTTTCCCACAATAGAATCAAAACCCCTCATTGGTTAATGCCGGTATAGCTAGTTTTGGTAATATTGGTTTGATAATACTTGAAGTTCATGAACTATATCTACTTTAAATCTAACTTATTTAAAGGCTAGATTGAAATCAATCACTCTTCTATTACAACCCATCAGAGGAACTAACTCTTGGCAATTTATTTTAACTCAACCGTTATTCGAATTCAACAAGTACTGACAGTGCCATTAATGAAGGCCTAATGTGCTGGGACTACCACCGCTTGGGGTCTTATTTGCTTAAAATTTTGTTTAGGGGCTTATATACCAACTTTTGGGATAAGTTGAGGAGCCTAACAATGGATTTTACCTTTAAATTCGAAAAATGGGGTAACCCGACAAAATCCGACTCAGATCGGACCACGTTCACGATGTAAATAAGAAAAGAGTTTCTTTAAGGTGTATTTTAAAAAAATAAATTAGAGTAAATTATTTAAATAATTTAATAATCATTTAATAAAAATCGTGATAAAGTAAGATAAAAGAAAAAAATAATTATTTTTTATTATATAATTAACATAAAAAAATTAAGAACATGTTAAATATATATTTTTTATTAATTTATAATAAAAAATAAAAATTAATTTTTAATTTATTAATTATTCAATTAAATTTATTTAATATTAAAATTAATATCAAATTTTATACATATTTATAAATAAAAAATATATATTTAATATACCCAAATCACAGGTTAAAAAAATCCATCATAAAAAAATACGGCCAAGGAGGGTTGGTTCTCCGCTCATCAATTTATCCCCATCTTCACGCTCTTCACCTTTATAAAGATCGAGAACTTTGCAGAATCCCACAATCATCTTCCTCCCTCCCCATACGAAAAAGATCACAATTTTGAACTTTATTAACTTCCAAAAGCAGGGTTCCCATTGATTAAAGTTCCCTCCTTTATCACAATTTCTCTCAAGGAGGAGAAACCAAACATTCATTTCCTAACAAATTTCCTTCCTTTTGTAAAGGATTTGTTATCCTGGCCGTTCTTGACTGCTTATTTCCCTTTTAAATAGTTGGAGCGTGACAATATCTTTGTCTTCTCTTTATCCATGCTTTGCTCTTCTTGTGAAAACGTTTTTGGGGTATTGGGTACTGGATTGGGGACGTTTTTGTCACATCGAATGCAGCTCTAGATTAACCATCTAATCAAAGGTGCTTCTACTTCTTTGCATCTTATATTGCTTTCTTAATGGGATTTTGTTTATGTTTTGTTGAATTTTGTTGGTTTTTGTGATGTTGCAGAGATAGAATAGAAGAGAGTTATGGCTTCTTTGATAGCGAGGAAAGGAAGACACAAACAGCGGTACGAGAACGAATTGAGGCTTGTTTCTGGGTAATTTCCAATTCTCCACTTCTTGTTTTTGTTCCTCAAGATTTCATTATCTTTAACCAGGATGAAATTTCTCATTCCTTTTATCTCTATTCTATTAAAATTGGTATTCTATTCTCAATTCTGCTGAAAGTTTAAGCATTGTTTAATGATTCTACTGTTGTGTGCAATAATTTGGGCTGAATAGACAAAAGGGTGTCTCGACACTTGCCCGACACTAATAACTAGTGAAACACTATATTTTCTTGGTGGGTCTGTTCATAAAAATTACTAGAGGTGTTGAGATGGTGTGTTCTTGGGTGATGATAAAATGACCTTAACCTAACTGATGTTAAATACCTACCTTCCTTCTTGGCCCTACCACATGTACTAGAAGAAAAGGAGTGGTTAACATAATAATCTCTTGGTCTGTTCACCAAAGAAAGGAAGTAAGATTCTAGGGAGTGCTTAATTGCAATTCCTTGTCTGCATCTAAAAGTCTTATATACATAAAATTATTGATGGGCCCTGGGATTGACTTTATGGTACCTCTTTTAACGTCTTCATCTTTAATTTCTACCCACTCGCCCTTTCTGTGAGGAAATCATTAAAAAGGAAAACCATGGGTCATTTTCAAATTGTAATTGTGGGTTCACTATGCAGGAAGGATCATTTTTATGTGCCTCTCTTTAACAGAAAAGATGAGTATATTTCGTGGGTTTCTTTCTTTTCTTATCTTAAATGCATAATTGATTGGCCACAAATGTGGATGATCAATCTGGAAAGTTGGCCTGTGAGCTTCATTTTCATTGTGCTGTACACGTAATTACATCTTTTTCTTAGCTTGAATTAATAACGAATATATGGTGTGATTTCCCCCCTTTTTTTTTTCTTTTTCTTTTTTTTTAATTGGGATAAAGTTAATGCATTAAACTTGACAAATATTAGAAGTTTACAGTTTTACTCGTGGCTAACTTGGCACCACCTACTTCAAAGTTAAGAAGTTTAGTTGTTTTCATAGAAGCCACTATGTTTGATTCTAATAAGCACATAATATACAAATGTAGTCTACATGTTTCAATAAGTTAACTGCACCGGCCTTAGGTTTCTGGATTCACAATCATATGTTTTTTTTTTTTTTCTAGCTTTGGAGGTACTATGTTAAATTCTTTACTAATTAGAAACTTACAATTATTTTGTTGTGTGAACATTAGGTGCATTCCTTTCAAGATTGAGAAGGATGTTGCAGATCAGGACAGTAATGTTGAGTTTAGGCTTAGTGTTCTTATGATATCAACGCCAAATCGTGATGATCTTGTGTTTCCTAAGGTATGCATCCATCTACCCTCTCATGTTTATTTTTAATTTTTTAATTTTTAGTGCTAAATTATGCAGTCTATGTGATATTAGATAATCTGTGGAGGTAGATATTGACCTTAGCAATAAAACCTTTATATGATTCTCAGGGTGGATGGGAGAATGATGAGACTGATTGTGAAGCTGCATGTCGTGAAGCCTTGGAGGAAGCTGGAGTGAAAGGAAAACTTCGTGTAGGTTCCTAATCTTTCTTTTACTAAGTAAAGTGCGAATCTCTTGTGCTTGGATGTTCAAATGTTATCAACTAGCAAAGAAATAATTTAATACTCAGGGATTTTAAGCTTATCTTAGGTTATTATTATTATTATTATAATTGACATTTTTGTTTTGCTGATGATGTTCTTCTGAACTGCCTTGGGACATTGGCTAAGAAAGTAGAAAGTAGGAATATATTCAGACTAGACTTAGGCTCATGTCCTGTCTAGAAAAGAAATTAAACTTCCTTTTAGAAGAACAACCCAGACCTCTAGTCTGAAGAAAAGTTCTATTATGATGCTAAAATTGGCAATTTTTTGTTCTCTTGTTATGTGGTTGATGCTTGTAGTGCTGCTCAGTCTAGTCACTGCTTTATTTGCTTACTTGTCAAATGGGATCAGTTTCCAGTCCAACTGAAATCAGACAGGATTTGGGGAAATAAAATCAATCAATGGTGGGTAAACAATGTTGGATTTAACAAATGTGTTTCCAGGGATATGAGCTGGATGAAATATACTTTTTATGAATTAGGGTTCATTTTCCTGGTCATAGTTGAACAGATGTTAGTATCTGCTTCTAAGGAAGTCCACTGCAAATGCAACTATATTCTGATAAAATCATAGAAGGCCTCATCAATATAACATATAGGCTGAAATTTAGTAGACGATTTTATGTAAGGCATAGGAAATGGGTCAATAGTCTGAAATTTTGACTTCCATATTTCAGAATCAATTGTGAATTTGATATGAAGTCTAGAATTCTCTTAGATATTTATATACATTTGTGATAGGACTCAAATTCTGCTCTAAGGTTCTCTCATCCTGCTGTTAACAAGTTTCCATATCATACTTCGTTTCTTAATGCCATTGCTCATAAGTGTCATGTGATCATTTCATCTTATAATGTTGGTCTAGTAGTTTTTCATGTAATTATGCTCAAATGCATATAGTCTTTTCTTCTTCCCATGTGATTCTGTTGACTCATCAATGATGGTGTTTTCTTTCAGGACCGACTAGGAAGTTGGGATTTCAGAAGCAAGAGCAGGCAGAATAGCTGCAGTCTGGAAGGTGGTTGCAGAGGTTATATGTTTGCTCTGGAAGTGACTGAAGAACTTGACTCATGGCCTGAGCAGGAGAGATACAAGAGGAAATGGGTCAGTAATAAATAAAGTTTAGGAAAATCAATAATCTCACATAACAACATATACCGCAAATATTTTGAGCCATACCTTGCCCATTCGCCATATGTAGAAGAATCTCCAATCCTTGTTTTCTTAGATAACAATTTCTGACAGTGCTTGAGGTTGAATAAGTACGTGGAATATTTGAATCTATTAACATGTTTGGAAAACGAGTGTTCTAATATGAATATGGCCATTTCTATCCTTCAAATTCATCATCACAAATATTTATCTCAACTGTCTAAATTTATCAATAGAAAAGTGAAAATCAGGATGTATTGGCATTAAAAATGTCAGGACATTTAATCCAACCACATGATGGATAAGATTTAAATGAGATCTACATTTTATCCTACCCATCTTGTGGCTGTGATTGGATGTCTTGATATTTTTAATGTCAGACGTTATGTTTTTCCAGAACCTCATTTACCAATTAATTTGTTGACAACTAATAATTGTCATCTTTTGCAGCTTACCCCAGAAGAGGCATTTAAAGTTTGTCGATATGATTGGATGAGGGAGGCTCTTAAAAAATTGCAAGAGCTTTCTTTCATTGCTGCTGCTGCTGCTGCTGCAGATACCCTTGTAGAGCAGCAAAGGTTATCAGCTGGCTGTTCTGGAAAACCATCAACCATGCATCGCCTTGAAGAGGCTTGTTCTAATTGTACTGTGCAAGGTTATCATTTGTTCAACCATCCACCATGTATGCATCACCTAGAAGAGTCATGTGCTTAGTGTATCGTGCAAGGTTGAATGCCAACCATTCTCCTAGAGAAGTTTTATGCTCCCGACCACTGTTCAAATGATTTGCGTCTTATGTTCTGTCATTTCTTCTCTTCTTGCACATTCCCAAGGAAACATTGGATTCAAAGAAGATGCAAATTGTTGTATTTGTAGATATAAGCTTCTTTCTGAGTGTGTAGACGGTCCATAAACTGATGTATTCAATGAAAAGAATTTTGTGTCTTCTTTGGCTAACTTCTTTCTCTCTCTTTTTATTTTCTTATTTTTTTGTTCATTAGAGGGTTAGTTGCTCAGTAGTGCAAAGGTTTGAATTCCTGATTTTGATCTCAAATTAAGGTTTTTAAGTTAGTAAGTAATAACTTTGTCAAACTTTTGTTGGTTGGCTACCTAGCTTCTTATTAGTAATCAAATCCCTCTTATTCTGCAGCACTTGAGTTACTAGCTCAATTAGTGAGATGCATGCTAACTACTAGAATATAGGGTTCGAATCTCCAATTCCATATATAAAACACAAAAAAACCTTTTTCGTTATCTGATGGGCCAAAAAAACTATAATACAAATCAAAAGGAAGTGGTTTGCATAAGTTGTGAATTTAAACCCAAAAAACTCCAGTTCAAACCCTTATATCTATGAAAGAACAGGATCAACATAACACATGATCATGCATAGTTTCTGGTAGAGTACTGAGGTGCAATTAGGTCTGTTCAATCCCTCAAGGTCTCAAAAGTAAATCCATTTTCTAGGTCAAAGTGTGTGGTGGGTACACTAGAGGATTTTACATGGTATTCTCAACTAACGTAGAGCTAACACATAAGCACATTACATCTTTGCATGAAATTTTTTACATAACATGCCAAATTTTACAAGATACAAGAACTTTTTGATATGATATGTGAAATGAGAAATCTTTAACGTAACGTTGAAATTTTTAGCATCAAATAATTTTTTTTATTGGAGTCCTAGTGGGAGAAAATATCTCACCAATGACAGGACAGACACACTGATCCTACAAGGGATTGAATGCTGACTTCAAATTTAAAGGAAAAAAAACAACAAACTAAGGCTGAAGGAAGGATTCTGGGCACTGTGCAGGAGTCTAGCTAGTTGGAGTCCCACCATTTGTGAGATCAATTATAAAAGATTGATTTGCTTTTTGATCCTTGTAATAGGGATACGACAATTTTTCTCTCTTTGACTCTCGCTTTCTAACACATCTTTTCACATTTATCATCTGTTTTATATGCACCTTGGCAATGGAGATTCCTGGGATCATAAAAGGAAC